ACAAAGGGTTGGGGAGGGGGAGTTCTTGGGAGGACTACTAACTGAAAGGCCTGGTAATCTGCTTGTGTAAAGATTTGCTGTTGTTGTTGCGAAGTTCAGTTCTACTATGTGACACATGGGTTGCCACGAATCGGCATCCACTCAGTGACAACGGGTTGTGTTTGTTTTTGCTTTTATGGTTTGAGGAGTGGGAAAACCTTTCTCAGCATTTCCCTGCTAAATGGTAAACAGATTAAGTAGATTTTGTGAACAAAGCTAATTCAAAGCCAGCAGACCACATAACAGAATTCATTCCGGGCAGAGGGCTAGTAACCGAAATTTCAGCGGGAAGCTAACTTTTCCTGCATGGTCCACAATTCTAGGAAATAACCAGGAACAATCAACCATTCTATTATTAACAATTTCATCCAGGGAAAATTGACTGGGAACTAAGCTGGGGACTGTGAAGACAAGGTCCCCGACCTAAGAAGCCTACACTGGAGTGGTGGAGAGGAGAGTGAGGGATGACTCCTTCATTCCAATCAGATGGAAGAAATCATTTCTCTGTGTGCTTAGACAAGGCTTCCAGGATTTGGAAGCAGTGGAGTGAGGTCTTGGAATGTGGGTAGGTGTGGTGTTGAAGGATAAACACTGGACAGCAAGCACTGGGCCACCACCTTGTGGTTCAAGCCCATGAGCTGTTCCTCTGAACTCCCTATACAGGGTTGCTATGAATCGGTACCAACGTGATGACACGTAACAATAACAATGGGGGTAGTGGTGGAGGTGGAGGGTATTGCAACTCTAAAAGGCTGGATTTGTTGTTGTTGCCATCAAGTCGGTGCTGACTCATAGCGACCTTATGCACAGCAGAATGAACCACTGTCTGGCTGGATAAAGACACAGAAACAGGTACAAACCAAGGCACAACATATCGGGTGCGGCACTGCAGGATAATGCATTGGACCACAAGGCTGGTTTGAACTTGTCGTCACTCAACAACAGCAGCAACAACACAGATAAGGAATAAGGATTCCTGGTGATACAGTGGTTCAGCACACTACTGCTAACCAGAAGGTTGGCGATTTGAACCCACCAGTTGCTCCAGAAAAAGGCACTGACATTCCCAAAGTGAACTGACTTGCTAAAGGTCCTTAAACCCAGGGTGTGTAACACAGAGCTACTGCCTCTTGCTCGTCTCCCAGATCCCTCTAAGTTGAACATACTGTCAGAGCCACTAAATCCCAAACCTAGTCATAACCAGAAAATTATGCTTCCAAGGTTGCTCTGGTAGCATAGCGGTTACAAATTGGGCTGTGAATCTTAAGGTCTGCAGTTCGAAACTACCAATCACTCCACGGGAGAAAGATGAGGCTTTCTGCTCCCGTGAAGATTTACAGCCTTGGAAACCCTGTACAGGGTCGCTATGGGTCAGAACCGACTCGATGGCACATAATAACAACAACAACAAATCCTCAGAAGCAGTCACTAAAAAGTGAGGAGACCAGCCCCAACATGTACCTATGTGAAGCAGTCACTAAAAAGTGAGGAGACCAGCCCCAATATGTCCCTATGTGCCATGTGGCCTTAGAAGATCATCTAATAGCTTACAGACTCAACGAGCATTCTGGATCTCCCAAACTCAGCCCTTCTTGAAAGTTATGAATGCTCTCATATAGACACTGAGGATTTATATCCCAGCCACTCCTACTGTTGGGCAAAAACAAAAACAAAATCCCAAACCAAATAAGCTCTCATTTAGCCATTTCCAATTTGTCATTGGCTGCTAACCTAAAGGTTAGTAGTTTAAACCATCTCAGTGACTTTAAGGAAGAACCACCCCCCCCACACACACCATACACACACACACACACAAAGTGTTTTCATAATGATAACAGTCAAGCTAACCCTATGAAGCATTTCTACTCTGTAACACATGGGGTCTCAGGAATGTTTATAGGCAAATCGCCCTTTCAAGGACCTAGATGCCCTTCTGATATCTTTCCTAAATTCTCATGGTCTCAAAAGCTCTGCAGCCGTATTTGTCTAGTTCGCCTCTGGTCCCCTCCACCCTAGACCTTCCTGCTTCCCCATTCATGCCCAGAGCAGAGCCCTAGGTATGATAAGCACATGCAACAACACTGAAATCAGAAATTCTACCTGAGAGTTGGATATGGAAGCTGAATCCCCCAATGTGGGCTGCTCTCATTCTTAATTTAAAACAAAGATCCCAAACAGAGAGAAGGACTGAAAATGAATCTGAATGTTTTTACTCATTGACATAACTCTAGAATTAACTTAGATTTCTGCTGTCTTTAGGAAACTCTCCTGGAGCTCCCAGTCCTAATCGCAAAATTGTCCCTCTATTTATAAAAACATATACAAGCTTTAAATTTGCATTTTTGTAGCAGTCAGGGTGTCAGGCTAAGATATTTTCAGCACCAACCGGAGAGCAAAGGTCAGAAGGGACTCCCACGGCAACAGGAACAGCATCTGTGGTCCTAGTAACCCAGACAGGGCTGGAGAAGGTTCCAGAAATGAGCTGTTGGTGTGGTAGGGTGCTCTGCAGGAGGGACTGGTTGCTCAGAACTCTGGCATCTCACCCTGGGGACCCACCCAGCAGGCTGGACCTGCTAGGAACCTCTGTGAGCATTGTTGTGAGGGTTAAATGATGGAAATGCAGACAAAGCCCCTAGCACTGTGCTGGGCACATGTGGGCTCTCACTGAATCCTGCTGCCACTCAGTCTCTTTCCTAGAATCCTGGAAGAGAAAATCAAAGAGCTTTGGTCTCAGGGTATACTGCGGGAAGGCATCCAGACTGACCTGAGTTTTGTGTAAGAAGAATAATAGACAGTGATGTTTGTTGACCAGCCCTGAGCTAGGAAATCCATACCTATCCTTCATCTTTATAACACCCTTGTAACATCGCTCCGTGGAAACCCTATACAGCGTCGCTAACAATAACAACAACATCTTTAATGGGGTCCTGGTGTGGCACTGTAGGATAAGCACCAGATTGCAAGGTCAGTTTGAAGCACGGGGTCAGTGGTTCAAACTCACCCGCTGCTCATCGGAAACCCTCTACAGGGTTGCTATGAGTGGGAACCAACTCGATGGCACTTAACAGCAAAAACAACATCCTTAAGGATGTTAAGGATCTAACATCCTTACAACAACCTCTTATGGCTCCCTACAGACTGTAGACAGCACAGGGCATCCGATGGGGTTCTCCCTCCCCTCTACTTCCTGCAAACCCAATTTCCCTCCTAGAGGTGGCATTCTCATCCAGTTTATGGAGAAGAAAACTGAGGCCTTGAGAGGTGAAGGGACTGCCTAAGGCTCCATGGGGAGGGAAGGGTGGCAGGAATCACACCCAGCCTCCAGTCCCTGTGACACTTAGATGCCCTGTCCCTGAGGAATGCCAGGATAGCATGAACACTAGAAATATTATGAAGCAAACCCCTGGATTTCCCACCCCACAGTTCCATGGTCTCTGGGATCTCACGCTAGACAGAGTGGGAAGGAGACCTACATTTAAAGCTGAACATTATCCCCAGTCAAGCAGTGTCCAAGGATCTGTGAGAGGACACACTCTGAATGTCAAGGTCCTGGGCCACAGCTTGAAGGCTTGTCCTATCTAGGACTGGTCAAAGGGAAGGCAACCAGCCCCTTCCATGCAAGAAGCAGGTCTAACTCAGCTGAGAACATGGACAGTTCTCCATGTTCTTGGCTGTAAATGTCAATCCTGGTTCAGCAAGCAAATACTTCCCCAGAGATCTCATTCCTTGGTGCTCAGCCAGACTGACATCTCTGGGGTTTAGGCCAGAATTCCTGACCCTTCTGGAGATCCAGAAGACATTTTACTCATGGGGAACTAGCTCTGTGATGCATACTTCCTTAGTAAGTCCGGCAAACCCCAGCAAGCTCTAAGTAGATCCACTGTGTACGCTGGCCTCCACCAGTATCTGGATAAGCTCTAATCAATGACCAGTATAATGCATGGGGGTTGTCTCCCCCACCTGTACCAAAACCAGGCTTCCAATATCAGTACTTGCAGGTTTTAGTATCAGGTTACTTAAAACACTCTACCACTCACAATGTCACTTGAACATTAAAAACCAACAAAACATAAGAAACCCATCATCTTCCATTTCCTGAGTCCTTCCAGTGTCTTTATTCCAACAAGTAACTTTCTAACTGCTGGTTAGGAGGCATGTACAGTCCCCTGTGGCCCATTAGATATTTGACTCCACTTCACATGAACCCATTTACTAGTTTATCCACTGGTGAGATGGGGCCCATTTCAGCTGGGGAAAGGCAGCTGTGGGTCCAGGTACGAATGACTCCAGGACATTATGCTTTGTAATCCTTGGATGTAAGCTCACCTCCAGACACACTTTATTGATGCCCTCAACTTCTGTGTATTTCTTCCACAGAGCTTACCGACACCTTTGTATGACGCCTTTATTCCTAATGACGCCCTGAGCCTTATTACCCTGGCAGTAGCTGACTCCTTTTGACTTGCAGAGGTTTATTGGGGTGGGCAGTATTTTCTTCCCACTGCTGTAACTCCCAGGTCTACACCTGGTTGGGGAGGAGTGTGGGAATGTGTGAGCATCCTTGCTGGGTGCCCATAGTTGCAAAACACGCCAGGCAACATGGGAATGAGACGGGCTTCCTAACACTTCCACCCTGGGAATCCGATCACTTCCACCTGTGAATTTCTCTCTTCCTCCTGTTCCTAGAGATTTTTCCAGGTGGAGGATCTGGGCACCTGGTGTCCTAGAGGGTGCCGACGACCCCTGGGACCAGCATTCATTCTGAGTCCCTCCTCTGGTGGTTCACCAGTGTCCTCACCAAACCTCTAGTCCGGTTCTCATTCCTCTGATTTGAGAAACCTGCACCAGCTCTTCATGGAATGAGGGGCCCGGCCAGGGGAGGAGGCAGGTGGGACACCCCACCAGCACCCAGCACCCCAAAATCCAGCCAGGGGAACAAAAGGAAAGAGGAGGTGGCTTACCTTTAGAGGGTCGCCTTTGTTTGGTTTGCAGAGACGAGAAGGTACCCATGACGGCCCCCATGGCAGCGAGACTTGTGTGAGACTTGGGACCCGAGCCCTGCCCCTCCCCTCCCCTGGAAAGATCTCAACGTGGATTGTCTACTCCGAATTGAGGGAGAGGAAAAGAAAGAAAGAAAAAAAAAAAGCCCACGGCGGCGACAGGCAGCTCGCCCGCAGCTTGGGTTTCAGCGAGCCAGCATGGGGCTGGGAGCCGGAGGTTTGGTTTTCCTCTTCAGCCCGGCACATGCACTGACTCGCAGGGCCACCGCTCCCGGGAGCCTTCAGAGCCACTGCCCTGAGCGGGGACGGGCCCGACCGCTTCCCTCGCAAGGGACCGAGTACTGTGCCCGGAAGCCTGCCTGGCACTGGACCCGGGGCCGGCGCGCCAGCCCGGCCAAGGCTCGGGAGCCGGCGCCGCGCGGTGCGGGAGCCGCGCTCCGCCCGCCCCTCCTGCCGCCCGCTCGGCTCCGCTCCCGGCGCTCTCGCAGGCTCTCAGGGGCCCGAGTACCAATCATGAATGAACAGCGCCTGGGGCCCGATGGGGCGGGAGTCGCCGCACTCCCGCCAGCCAGCTCGCCTGCGTGTGCTAGGGGTGAGAGTGGGAGCTGAGGAAGCGCTCGGGAACTGCGGGAGGGGCGGGGGCAGAGGGGCGACTGGCAGGGCCGGCCTGGTGGCCCATGTCTCTGCGCCCCACGTGCCAGGGGAGGATGCATTCTCTGCAGACAACCCCGGACTAGGCACTACTGGTGGTGGAGTTCAGGGTAGTAGATTGCCCCTGAGTGAGAAGAAGGTGTGTGTGCATGTGTACTTGTGTGTGGTGCATTGTGATTTCATTGGCTTCTAGGAAAATCTTATTTCACCCACTGACTGAATTCATAGGGTGGGGAACAACCGGGCCCCACCCAGTGAAGGAGGAAGACATACATCCCACTCAGTTGTAATGGGAGAGGATGTCCTTCCCTGCAGGGTCTCTAGTGGCCTGCAGGATCCTTCACACCAGGGCCCATCTTCCAATAATAGGGCCTTGGGGAGGGCCAAGGAGCCTCTGGACCCCTCTGAGGCCTTGCTCCCTCTTTTCTCTGCTTCATTTCTTCCTTTCACTGTACCTCCCTTTCTTTTTTCCTCCCTTCATCCTACTATCTCTCCCCTCTCCTTATCTTCTCCCATCTTTCCCCCTCCTTTCCCCCACCTCCTTAATGATTTATTTGCTGTCATCTGTGGGGCAGTTAGGAATACCTGAGTGGTGCAAAGGTTAAAACACTTGGCTAACAGAGAGAGTGGAGGCTAGAGTCCATTCAGAGGTACCTTGGAATAAAGACTGAAAAATCTCCTATTGAAAGCCCTATGAAGCACAGGTCGACTCTGACACACAGGAGGTCTCCATGAATTGGAATCACCTGACAGCAACTGGTTTGGCTAGGGAGCAGATGGTCAGTTAGGTTTGAGAGGAAAATGGCTGAATTTTGGGAGCAGTCCCCTACCTGTGAGTTCTCACTCTCCAGGTCAGGGCAAAGATTCCCTTCGCATCTCATCCCTGGTTTCTCTTGTGAAAGGGAAAGTCTGAGCTCCCTCCTGTGGGCTCTGACAAGCTCCATGTGATGTTGAAATGCAAGGCTTGCTCCCTGGAAGGCTGAGGAGCTTTCCCTCTCCCAAGTCTGAGCCATCTCCATTCCCACAGAGACCCTCTGTGAATGGCAATGAAAACCCATTGCCCAAGCTGCTCTCAGCCCCTTGCCCAGTCATTTCCTCCCCTCCCCCACCCACAGATATAGTCATGTTTATAGTTCACACAGTCCTCTGGCATATGGTCTCATAAACATGCATGCACACACACATAGTCACACAAACATATGGCCACACAGCCCTCAAGCCCACACATATGGAGTCCCACAGATATTGCTGTCATACACATACTGACCCACAGGATCACAATACATACACATGGGTGCACTCCATACAACCCCACACAAAACAAACACACAGGCACATAGCCAGTCAATGCAAAATAGTATCATAGTCTCCCCTATACACATAGGTGCAAACCTGCACCGTTGATTCCCAGCATTCCAGTCCACTGGCTGCCCCTTCAGGGATATAGGTGGTCTGCGACTTGACCAGAGCCACTGTATAGATTTTCTTTACCTACACGGCACTTAACGCTTTCTCAAATCCCAACATTTGTCCAATTAAGTGTAACAGTACAGTGAAGATGTGCTTAGTAACATGCACCTCTTCATTTGTATGGCTCATTGTTATATCACCCATGTGATACCCCCCCAAGTCAATGAGTCAGGCAGATCACCATAGAGTGAAATTAAGGCTTACAAAGGATAAGAAATTTCCCTGCTAGGATGTGGGGTAAAACATGGAGTCCAGGGCTCTTTTGCCACTTCGTGGGGACCCTGAGGTCTGTTGAAGAGCTTTATTCTGGGTTCTATCAGCTTGAAAGTTTCAGCTTTCCTACTTGCCATCACAGGAGTCCTGGTGTGGTGCTGTGGGTGAATGCACCAGACTGCAAAGTTGTTTGAACTGCAAAGTCGCGGCAGTTCAAGCTCACCTGCTGCTCCTCAGAAACCCTATACAGGGCCGCTACGGGTCGGAACTGGCTTGACAGCACTTAAAACAACAACAACTTGCCATCACAAGAGGTCTGGGATCCAGAATGATGGAGCAAGGCAATTATAGACTGCCCCTGCCTCCATCCTATCCTCACTGCTGTGGAACAAGGGATATAGTGTGTTTAACCTGGGTGAGGTGAGGACCGGTTAGGATGAGGCTAGGGCTCAAGGAACGTAAAAGGGACCTTTGCGACCTTTGCCGGGGAGAGGATGATACTGCCTCTAAGTGTCTACCAGCTCCTCAGGGATTTCACCAACGGAATCCCAAACTAGTTTACCCTCAGGAGTCTCCAAATTCCATGCAACCCAAGTAACAATGATCAGGACACACTTGAGAGTTTACAGAAGGCTAGTATGCCATTTTTGCCTTCTCTCCTTCCCCCATTTCTCTGACCAAACTGAGTGCAGTCAAGTTGCTTCATTTCCCAGATCAGCAAGTGCCTCTTGATATGTTCTTGGCTGGCTGCCACTGAGCAGTGGGCATACAGTAAAGTCACCAAGATAAGTCCAAACTGCTGAGCTCGATTCAGGAGGCCCTTTTGTGAACTGGCTTAGTCTACCATTCTCCCTTACCCACCTGGTGCTTTCTTGATAGCACCAGCCACACAGTATCCTTCCTTATCCCCCAAATGTATCATTTATGATCATGCTTCAGGGCCTTTGCACATGCTGTTACCTCTGCCAAGAATATCTCTCATCCCTTTCTTTATTGGGAGACCTGATGTTCATTCTTGAAGATAGGCTCCCTGGCATCCCTAAAGGTGCCCATGTCACCTAGGTCTATTTTTTCCATCAGAATATATAGTATCTTGGTTCTCAGTGTCCCTTTCCTTTTCAATATCTCCCTCTGAACTGTGAATTCCTTAAGGGCAGGGAGTACCACAGGCATTGCTGTTATATATACTATTCATTCAGCTCTTTACCAGTGACTTCATAAGCTGTAGGCATTTCTGAGTGGTGCAAATAGATAATGTGTTTGACCGGTAACTGAAAGTTTGTAAGTTCAAGTTCATTTAGAGAAACATTGCAAAAAAGGCCCGGTGAGCTATCTACCTCTGGAAAAAAAACACAAAAAACGAAACAGTCTTCAAAAACTCTATGTAGTGCAGTTCTGCTTTTGACACATATGGGTTCCCCATGACTTGAGGTTGACTCAAGAGCAAGTAGTTTGCTTAACCTCTGGTTTCTAAAAAGAGTTCAGTCAATCTATAATACATGAATGAATATATGAACTAATTTTCTTTTCTTAGTGACCGAATTAGTAAACAAAAACTGAGACTTACCAGATTACCGTTGTCCTTTAAAGGAAGTAAACATAGTCTCATGCAATCATTTATACATCTAGTATTTATTGAGCATCTACTATGTATCAGATATTTGCATGCACAATGGCTCATCTAATGACACTCTATGAGTTAGATATTACCTGAAGATGAAGAAACACACATTCAAGGGTATGACAGAACCCGACATCACTCATGAGATGTTCACAGGAATGTATCCAAGTAAAGTATGAGAGAGAAAGATGCCAAAAACCGTTCACTGCCTCTTGGGAACTTGCAATGGAGAGCAGAGAACCTCATGGGAAGAGAGGGAGACAGAGTGCAATGAGGGTGTACCTCTGGAGTTCCTGGAGGGTTAGTCATTGTGACTTCAGAAGGTCTTTGTTTTGCTGTCCTGATATGATGTACCTAAGGAGGGGGTCTTGCCATTCTTATCCAATATGGATTCCAATGGTCATGACTCCCTCTAATATGGAAGGTGAATTCACTCATGCACCATTTCTAGGTCTGACCCCTCCCTCACCCAATGAGATGGACTGACCCAATGGCTGCAACAATGGGCTCAAAAATGACAACTATTGCGAGGATGGTGTCCAACCCAGCAGCGTTTCATTCTGTTTTGCATAGATAGGGTCCCTATGAATGAGAACAGACTGGATAGCACCTAACAACAGCCTCATAATGTTGTTGTGAGAATTTGATGAGAAGTGTGTGTAAGACACTTAGTAAGATGCCTTGAACATAGCGTGGCTGGTTATTGAGGGGAAACCTCTGTGATTCCTGTTGCTATGGGCCAGGCATCAAATGGGGCTAGAGGGATATAGAAATGAGTAAGCCATAGCTCCTTCTTCTTGGCTTCCATCTTTGCTCTTCATCTGCTTTATCAGAAATCTATTCTCAGGATCCCCATCTGGTATTAGAAGACTCAGATTAGTTAAGGAAAGGAATGCAGTTAGCACCTGGTTGTGTGCAATTCAGCACTCTGCTTGCTGCTGTCTTGTACCATTTCCCAAACATTCTGCATGCATAAGTCTGGCCTCCTCAAATAGACTGTGAGCTTTTAAAAAGCAGAGGCTGAACTTCTCCTGTTTTGCATATCCCCTCCCAGCCCCAAGGCTCAGTCTGGCTCAGAACAGCCTCAGTGTTCCACAAATACTCAAATGGAGATCTGAAATTCAGTGCAAGGGAAGGATGTCATCTTTTAGTCCCTTGTTTAAGTCTCC